GGGCTTGTCATTCCCTTTCTCCATTAAAATTAAGGTGTTAGCTTTAAAACCTCTTTTTGGCAAGAGACCTTAAACTTTCAGAACTTTAAATTTTTCAGATAGTAAATCAGTTACTTAGCATTTTCTCAAATCAATAATACCTCCACATGCCCAAGGATACACTTCACACAAAAGACATTTCCAAATAGATCAACCAACCTCATCCAGGCCCCACATAAGGCACTCACAGATCAACACCCCAGAGCTAAACTGATTTAACACATCCAGATCTAAGCCTTCCTCATTTGATTCAGCAGACCCTCAAGTTCCCCCAAAAGTTTCCAGCCATGTCTGAGAGGCAGCCTTGGGGCGGAGGCAGGTAAGGAGCGAGCTGCTCCGGGCCTGGCCTCTGTTGCTCTGGTCTGTTCCACAACCATCTGCTCCGAAAAGACCATCTTTTAATCATAGGAACTGAGGTTGCTAGCCTATGTTCCTATTTAATACACTTCAATATTTAATCTTTTGGTAAAATCAAGTTTGAGGTTGAATTAAAAAAACACACAAAACTTTCTCTTGATCTAGAATTGGCTTTAGATCATCCCAATTGGCTCTGAAATGCCTCAAATGTTTGTTTTCTGTCTCATGAAGGAAAATTTTATACTGAAAGTACATAGGAACCTTTGTCAAATTATAATTACAGTTATAATTAATGGTTATTGGTTATATAATATTATAGAATGTTGTATTTTACAGAAAGGAGAACGTTCCATGCCATCTGTATTATAATGAAATCCATAATCGGGTCATTTTATTTTTATTTTTTTTTTTTTTTTTAGCGGATTGACACAGTGCTTTATTCAGCTGTCTGTACGGGGGGGAGACACGGGCACCCCTGGCCGAGACGTGTAAAAATACTAAGGATGTACAGTGTACAAAAACAGGTCCTCGTCCTCAGTTCACATCCATAATCGGGTCATTTTAAATTTCTTCTTGTCATTTGGAGACAGTTATGTTTTGTTATAATGCATTTGGAAAAATATTATATCTTCTGAAGTGTGTCCATGGAAAGGACTGGCAAAGAAAATCAAAAGATCTTAAAGCAGGTTAGTGTATTTTTCTTCCTATGTTATCCCTCCAAAATTTGGTAATTCTTAATGAATGAATCATGGCAATGCATTTCTTTGCATAAATTCAATAAGACCCGTTTCAAATGATGGTTTCATTGACCGAAAACTTTGGAGTGTCATGTTTTAAAGAGTCCTGTCAGGACTCTGAACACTTGAAGCCAATAAGAGTGCCATGGAGAAACCCTAGTATCTTACTTGGTAGCCCTAAAAGTGGATGGCGCTGGTGGTTGGTCAGAGTGGAAGGGGAGCAACGAGGGCCCCTCTGTATCCCTGCAAAACCCACATGGCACTCTAAGCCACAATGAGCAGCAGTGCTGCTGAGATGGGCCTTGAAGCCTAGGGCGTAGCCCCAGGTGAGGAATTCACCTAACCCAGCAGATACTATAGGCAGGACTGATGGCAGCTGGATGGCTTGGCTTCCCTGCCCTACAGGGCACATTGAGACTCAATCATGAAATTTGGGCAAAGGCGGTCAGTTACCATTCTTGTGTTTATGCAAACAATCAGGCCAAATTGAATGCAATAGATAAATTGGTCTTAATTTGGCTCTTTAATAAACATAAGGGTGATTTAAGGAAAAATGTTTTCTTTCAATAAGAGTTATTAGAACTGAAATGTTTTCTTTCCCTTCCACCAGACCATTTGTTATAACTCTTGCTGTTCTAATTGCTCAATAATACTAAATTTTATAACATAGTTTGTCTCCTCCAGGTCACAAGCCCAGACCTCATCATCTCTCTGACAGAGAGCAAGGATCTCTTGACTCTGGAAAAAAACTTTGTCCCTCCGCAGCATGGAATTAGCCAGAGGAGCCCACTGACGCCCATTTTCCCTAAAAGGATTCAGAGCCAGGATTCTTAAGGGGATGTGTTAGGAAGTTAGACAGACATGAGCAGAGCAAGGACAATGGGCCAACTGGAGAAGAAATAGATGGGACCCTGAGATGTGCTTCTCACCACTCTAACTGTTCTGAAGCCGGAAATGAAGAAACCTGTGTAGACTCACTCTCCCTTCCTCTAAGAAAGCCAACAGATTATAGAACAGCTAATAGAGAGAATTAGTAAGCACTGAAGCCCCAAATGTTACTCCAGACAAGATCTCTGGACTGCCATTACAATCCCTTGGGTAATGAAGATGAAAATGACTCAAGCTGCTGTATCCCAGACTCCCTAGCTTTGAGTCTTCTAGCAAATCCACAAGGCGGAAAATCAGCTTGAGGATCAAGGAGGTGGAGGGGAGGAATAATGAGAAAAAGAAGACTTTTTTTGTGGGGGGGCCAGCAGCCTGACTCTGTACGTAGTTAATCAGTACATTCCTGTTAGCCTATAGTCTAGTCACAGCCCCTTCCTCTATTATCTGGTCTTGCAAGACCTATTTACTTAAATAATCACATTTTACAGAGGCCATAAACAATGAATAATACACAAACCCCACAGCGGGTTATCAGCACTGGTGCCAGGCCAGGGCCTTTAGGTGTGTCACGTTCCCCATGCCAACATACGGGGCTTTTTGCAAAGCCTGAGAAAGATCCAGAAGTCTGATCCATATATGGCTTCATAGTGGCTTACTCAGGATTTGGAGAACTGACCCCCTGAGTCACTGTGAAACATCTGAAAATAAATGGCCTTATCTTGGACCTCCAAGTACACCTGTGCATTTTTTGGTCACCTGGTAAATTCTGTAACAGTCACACAATGAACACTATCAATGTTTGCTTCTGTGGCACACCCCTACCTCTGTTTCAATTATAACTGCCTTTCTCCTTCCTAGTGAGGAATTCCTTCCACAGATATGTTAAGGAGATGATTAGGATTAGTCAAGACCTGCATAAATGGCAGCCATCTGAATTTTTAAGAGGACTATGCCCATTTCCTTTTTCCATATATATTCGATTTATCGTTTAACTCTCAGAGGACTTATATTTTTCCAAATCCTTTGGGGACATCTCACAGATTTTTTTTGTGACACTGACATTTATAAGATAGGTTTTATTTTTCTCGATTGGACCAATGTGCTGTCACTTGCTGCCCTCTGAACTATAAGACAATCTTCATTTTCAAAAACTTGAGCGGAAAAAAAAAACTTGAGAAAAAAAATGGGTCTACTTGGAAAAATAAAACAGATTATAATCACATTTGGTCTTTCCCTGTGTCCCTTCCTGACACATGGAAAAACAATGAACTGGGAAAAGGGTATAGTGGCATACACATACATGACTCACCTTGGTCAATGTCCATTCTGGTTATAAGTCCTTGGAGAGCAAAGCTACTCTGGAATTTTTTGAGCACTTACTATCTGCCAGTGACTGTGGAAGGTATTTTAACATAAATGTTAATTCACTTAGGTTCAAGACCTCAACTTAAGGTCCTGATATATATAACCAGGATGAGGGGGATAGTTGTAACATGCAAACATCCTGTGACCCAGCCATAAATGAAGAATACCACTCAGTTTGTAATGTAAGCAGAAAAAAGATAATATTAAGGGAAGTGAAATTAATAAGAATTATTTATTATTTTTAAAATTCTAAGTTCAGTATTACCTTCAATATGTATTTTTCAACTTAAGGTTTTTAACTAAATTTTGCTTTATCTAATAAAACTTATCAGAACATCCAGTTTTCATTTACTAACTAGAGGCCTGGTGCACAAAATTTGTACACTGGGGAGAGGGGGGTCTCTCTCAGCCCGGCCTGCACAGTCTGGAACCTCTCACTCATTACCACCCACCTGTTCCTTACTGCTTGGCTCGCTGCTCCTTAGTGCTGTTGCAGAGGTATGAGGTGAGCCCAGCTTCTGGATGAGCAGCACACTCCCTGTGGGAGCCCACTGACCACCAGGGGTCAGCTCCTGCGTTAAGCATCTGCCCCCTGATGGTCAATGTGCATCATAGCAACTGGTCATTCGGCCATTTGGTCTATTTGCATATTAGGGTTTATTATATAGGATAATATTAATGTTTGAAAGCGGCTATCTCCTGTTCTCATATGAAAATTTTTCACTGTGTCCATGCACATAAAGGTGGGGCTTTTGTGGGGAGGGGATCTAGCTTAACCAAAACCTGCCTTAATTTGAAAATGTGAGAGTAGCTTAATGGTTAGAGCACTGTTCATTTAAAAACTGAGATACCTATTCAAACTGCAAGAAGACAGAAATGCACTCATATTTTCATTATTTACCATAAAGAAGCTGTTACAACCGTGTCCACTAGTTTACAACTATCACTGAAGGACAGAGGCAAAATCCAAAGAGGCCTCTGGAAGCTGTATTTTCAGCCTACAGCAAGCTGTATTTTCCAAAATGGTCACTGCAGTGAACTTCCAGAGCTCTATCTATTCTTCCCCAACAAGAATCAGTTTCCTTCCCTCCTCTTCCCTTGAACTTCATAAAGATTCCTAGCTGCTTCAACAAAGAAAATACAGCATAAACGAGTTCACAAGACTTCCAAGGTTGGATCACAAAAGGTGATACTCTTCTACCTGGTCCTCTCTCTTGTCTTAGGACACTGACCCTAAAAAGCAGCCACCGTGAAGCCCAAACCAGCCCACACAGAGAGATGAAACAAAGAAGATCTGAGACCATGAGCAATAGCCAGCCTCAACAATAAGAAATTTAATTAATTGGGCCTCCAGTGGATTCTAGCCTCCCATCTTTGGGCCACCCCAGCTGATGCACATTAAAGCATAGGTGAGCCCGTTAGCCCTCTCCAAATTGCAGATTCATAAGCAAATAAACACTGTTATTGTTTCAACTCACTAATATTTGAGCTTAGTAACTGGAATGCAAACTCGACTGAAAGCACCTATGAATGAATTTTACCTAAAACAAAATAAAGTTTATGTTTTGCTCCCCATGTTGATCCCCAAATTAAGGCAGAGATAAAAGGTATACATACATCTTCCGACAGTGATATCCTGCTGCAAGGTGCTTATATATAGCTGCAGGGTCAGCTGGGGAGCTGAGCCCAGGAAAGCCTGGATCACTGATGCCCGGCTGAATGCAGATCGGTGGGTGAACATCTTGCCCTCTGCCTGGCCCACTTCCTTCTCAATCTCCTCTGAGAGGCCATTTTTTGGCATTTGTCGCTTCTTGGTGATGCTGACATAAGGCTCTTCGATGTGGCCTGACTGACAATAGATGCATAAGACTTCAAAACACCTGGAAACAAATCAGCAAATCATGATAATCAGAGGCAGACAAGATTCTCTTTTTTTCAGTTACCCTGCTTACACTTAGCCTGATTCTCAAAGCCTTGACTTGGCTACTCTGGACTGTAGCCCCTCCTAGAAAATCATCCACATCAAGGGCCAGTTTTGAGCACGCAGTCCTTTTGAGTCCTTCCAGCAGGCAAACTGGGGCTGACTGAGAACCAAATTGAGAGGTGACATCAAAGCCCACTGAGGCAAGCATCCAAGCAGATACTAGAAAAAAATAAGCATCCAAGCAGATACTAGAAAAAAATATTCAATTTGCCTTCCTGACATTTATTAGCTGTGCAGTCTTGGGCAAGTAATTTAATCCTTGAGTCATTTCCCTCAATTATAAAGCAGAAATACAATCTACCTTGCCACACTGTAATGGAGCTAACACAGAATATATGTACACACACACACAAATATATATATATATATATATATATATATATATATATATATATATATATATAAACTCTCACTGTTTTTTTTTCACATCCAAGAGATGCCCCAAATTTCCTTAGTTAAAGCAGCAGCTATGGTTGTGAGATTCATCCCCCAAATCACAAAACAATTTGCCATTTAGCATTTCCCTGAAAGACCATAATTTATTTCCTATCTCTCTGCTCTCATAAGACCTTATGGAACATGACTAAATTCAACCATGCTTGGGGGCTGACCAGCTTTGGAATTTCAAGCCTACCCTGAGGAAGGAGCTGTAACCAGTCACCTTTCTATATTGACAGAGTATCTGGCTTTTAAAATTAGATTTCCTCTGTAGGTAATGATATGGATATTGAAGGAGGAAAGAGTACTGATGTGTCTGATTTACTTTGAAATATACATACACAAATGGATTGATGGCTTGATAGAAAGATGATAGATGTATGAAATAAAATGTTAATTATAGAATCTAGGTGGCTAGTATTTGGATGTTCACCATACAGTTCTTTCAAGTTGTCTTCTTTATGTTAGAAACTGTTCCTGTCAGAGCAGAGGAGGTTTTGGGGGCTGGATGAAATAAGGTGAAGGGATTACGGGAAAGAAAATAAATAAATAAATAAATAAATAAATAAATAAATAAATTATATATATATATATATATATATATATATATATATATATATATATATTTCTTAGAGGCCCAGTGTATGAAATTCGTGCACAGGGAGAGGGGAGGGTGTCCCTCAGCCCAGCCTGCACCCTCTTCAATCTGGGACCCCTTGAGGGATGTGTGCATGTGTATTGTATGTGTATGTGTATACTCTCATCCTGAGGGCTGTCCATTGGGATCGGGCCTAAACAGGCAGTCGGACATCCCTCTCATAATCCAGGACTGCTGGCTCCCAACTGCTCACCTACCTGCCTTTCTGATTGCCCCTAGACATTTCTGCCTGCCAGTCTCATCACCCCCTAACCACTCCCATGCCAGCCTAACTGATGTCTAACTGCTCCCCTGCCAGCCTGTTTGCCCCCAACTTCCTTCCTCTGCCAACCTGGTCACCCCTAACTGCCCTCCCCTGCAGGCTTGATTGCCCCCAACTGCCCTCCCTTGCAGAGCTGGTCCCTCCCAACTGCCCTCTCCTGCTAGCCATCTTGTGTCCACATGGGGGCAGCCATCTTTGACCACCTGGGGGCAGCTATTGTGTGTTGGAGTGAAGGTCAATCTGCATATTACTCTTTTATTAGATAGGATATTACACACATACACATAGGCTACAGTGTAGTGATAGCCAGGGTGGTAGAGGTGAGCAAAGGAGGGAGAAATGGGGACAGAAAGAGACTTTGCTTGGGGTGATGGGCTCACAATGCAGTGTTAAGATGATGTTTTGTTGAGTTGTACACTTGAAACTTGTATGGCTTTGTGAACCAATGTCACTCCCATAAATTCAATAAAAACTTTTTTTCATAATAAAAACAGCGGGGGGGGGGGGAGGGAATGGGTTTTTCTTAAGAATAATTCCGCAGCAACTATCGCAAGAAGAATCTATAACAATCTATAATAATAAAAACATAATATGCTAATCAGACCAGACAGCTGGACATCCTCCGGGAAACTGCCCTCCCCTGCTGGCCTGGTTGCCCCCAACTGCCCTTCCCTGCCAGCCAATTTGGTTCTGAGTGGTCAGTTTCTATGCCAATCAGTGTCAAAAGCTCTGCCTCCTAGGCAACCATTGGCTCCTCAAAGTTCACTCAGATTTGGTTCTGATTGGTTGGTTTCTATGCCAGTCAGCATCTCTGGGCCTATCTCCAGGCCTGATCAGAGAGGCGAGGCTGATCAGCAGCCCCCTGCAGAGGCCCAAAGAGAAAGAGAGAGGCAATGGCTGATCAACAGCTGCCACAGAGGCTATGGATTAGACCCTGCCTCTCTCTTTGGGTCCCTCTTCTGGGCCTGATCTGCAGTCCCCTTGGCAGTCAGTGCTAGCTCACAATGGCAACCCAGCACTGACTGAAGGACTGACTTCTGGTGTATGGTCCAGCCTTTGATCAGTCATTACAGACCCTGGGTTTTTATATATTAGTAAAGTCTTTTGAAGGTATACAATAAAGAAAAATACTATAGTGAATAATTTTGCAATGTTCTATAAAATATTACTAGAACTTCTTAGCTTTTACATTATTAACATAGATTTTCATGAGCTATTTTTTCCTCATTTCACCAGTAAATTAAAATGGAGGAAAATTCCTTGAACTAGAAACTCATTTATATTCATTCCTTCTCCCAATTAATTTATAAAATCAACATATTGTAAAAGCATAAACAAATGTTGTTGTTGCTGTTAAGAGTTATTTCCCACCACCCTCTGGTTTTTCAGAATATCTATTATTCACAGTAACACTGCCCTTAAAAAAAAAAAATCAAGATATTATTTATTCTGTGTTGTTACCATTGAAACCCGGCCTTACTTAGGAAATAAACATACAAACTGCAACTGTAGTTTTAAATATAATACTGATATAAATTAAATATGCTGCTATCCACTGCTTCCCTAAAGGAAAGGACAGTGGGGACTAGATTGCAGTATTTAGCCCATAATCATTATAATTCAGTTTAAGTGAGTAAATTCAAAAACAACATCTCACCTAAAAAGAATATGTTGGGCCATTTAGTGTGCACCCAAAAATACACAGAGCTAAATTTTCCAAAAACAATTTCAAAATATTACTAAGTGTAATTGATAAGGCAGGAAAAGAAACACACCACGACTCACCTTTGTACGGAGGGGAAATAACGTTGATCCTATGTAAAATCTTAGAGTTAAAATAGAAACAGTCAACAGGAAAAATTTCCAGTAACATATTAAGTCACGCTAATACACAACATTAAATTGCTCTTTTTTTTTTTCATCTGGAAGCTAAGAGGCTTGGAACTGCACATGTGTATCACAGCTCGAAATTCATGGGTCCGATATCTCCTTGAAATTAATCAGCTGCATTAGAATGACAGAGTCCTTGTTGACAGAAGGGGCTTGTTTGTTGCTTTGTTTTTTTATATTTTATTTTGTTGTTCCAGGAAAGAAGACAATGACTTATTCAGAATTTTCTGGAAATATGTCTTTTTATGGGGTTGAAACTTTTTTATATGGCTAGTAATCTCTTCAAAGCATCAAACTTTTTATTTTTTAATAAAGTTAAAATATTTTTACTGTAAAAACTGAAAAATGTAGAGAAGCATATAATAAAGGAGGAAATTATGCACTTTCTATATTTTTCAGGAGAAAATTAAAATCACCCATAATTACACCGTCAGAAATTATCACCTTTATCTTTGCCATCCGGTTTTATACATATTATATCATTAGCTTTATCTTAGGTCACTCTTAGTTTTTACAAAAATATTAAATGACAGACATGATAGGGTATTATCATTGACCTGGATATCTGTTTAGGTTGTGTTTTTAAATTTTTCCAAAATGACCAAATTTTCTTGATTTAAGACTGAACTACTGATAAAATGCACTCCACCCTCCTCTGCCTTCTTTCACAAAGAGAACATAATTCACTCCACTCTATTTCTAAGAAGCCTTGTGGACATAGTTTAGAATCTCATTTTCCTCATCTATAAATGGGAACAATTACATATAGTTCATGATGAGGATTTGATGAACTGAGGCATACAAACACTTACCAAACCATCTAGCACAAGAAGCATTTGACAAACATCAGTTCCCTTTTCTGTGTCACTTTACTTAAACATCTGCCAGTACTGAGTTTTCTTTTCACAGAACAGGTTTAGGCATGATGAGAGCCTTGCCCACAGTCAAATAACATTGATTTTACTGAGCAGAAATACAATCAGGGTGCTGTGTCCTACTAGGCCAGGGAGAATGAACTCTCTCCTCATCAATGGCTCCAGGTTGCAGGAGTTTTAAAATTTCCCTCACCCTCTTTGTCTCCTTTTCCCTTTTCCTCTCCTTCTCCCCTACCCCTTTCCCCCCCTAACTCTTCCCTTGCTCTCAATATGTCAGTAGCAACTTATTCTGCCCATGTACCTGTTTCTTTTCCTTTCTAAAATTCCACAGCTTCAGGAAAATTTGTTCATCCACTTTGTCCTGACTCTGTGTGAACTACAAGCCCACATTCTGAGTGTCAGTTAGAAAGGCTGTCTTTAATATGAAGTGCAACGTTTTATTAAGTGCTTAGTAAAACCTATCTTGCTGCTTAACTTTGTGTGGTGTATGTGGGGGTTGGGGTGGGGGCGGTGTTGGGGTCTCCCTAGGTCCACAGCTAACTGAATAGCTGAATTTTATGGCTGCTGAGATGCCTCTTTGGCCTTTCTATGTCTACCAATTCCTCTATCGCTTATGTCTAAAGTTCAGTAATATAAATTTATTTCTAATCCAGATAGAACCGCTTGGATTTGCTTTTCCTACAGAGATGAAAGGCATCAAAACAACACCTTTTAAATTCTCTTCCAAGTCCTTGGATAAGCCAGTCTACTTCATTACCATATATTTCTCTCGCTTTGTGTTAATGAAAATTAGTTTTTCTTTCCTTAACACACCACAAACGTTTGTCTTCGTGGCACATTGTGTTCCAGCTTCAAGGACCAGGTTTATAAGTCAGGCTGGGGTAGAAGATGGTTCTACAACCCCGTGTATTTCCACGCACAAGAAACAAGACTGATGTGTGGCTTTCTAGAGTTATGTATGAGAGTTGAATAAATTCATATTTGTAAAGCGTTCAGAACAGTGCCTGTCACACAGTAAACTCGACGTGTTAAATAAATTAAATAATCTGTCCCCGCTTTTGCTCCAACTGGAATTTAGGACACACTTCCCAAGGGTCTGTCAGACCCAAGCCAACCCTGCCAGAGCTCACTGACCTCAGAGAAAGTCTGAGTTTTTAAGAGGTCGAACCACATGAAATTGCCATGTTTTATCAGTCAAATTCCACTGAATGTTGGTAATTTCATTGGCAAGAACCTAACAGGAACTCAGTACGCCCGGCTGCATGGCCACTTTCCCAGGAGTATGTCACGTTCCTGGTCTACAAAGGTGGCTGAGAGTCCAAGTGGGCCGGCCTGGGCCCGCTCCCCGGCGCCACCACCTGACCCTCCCGGTAGGCCGCCTCCCACCTCCTGAGCCAGCACGGGCCGGGGAAGCGGCCGAGGTCTGGGCCTGGGGCCCGGGGGCCCGCACGAACCTGAAGAGGGGTCCGAGCTGCAGCAGGTGCAGCAGCAGCACGAGCGGCCGGTCGCGGCTGAAGTCGCGGTGCACAAAGAGGAGTGTGAGCTGCACGAGCGCGCAGGGCAGCAGCGAGAAAAGCAGCGTCAGGGACTGCCACATGCCATCCCCGCCTGAGCGGTAAGTGCTGCTCAGGTACAGCGCCGCCATCGTCTCGGCCACGAACAGGAACACGGACGCCAGCACCGAGCCCGGGAACTTCATCTTCGCGTGTCGGCAGCGCTCCCGGCTGGCGGCGGCGGCCTGAGGGGCTCCCGGCAGCCGGGCCCGCGGCCCCGCTCTCTTCGCTCCGCGCCGCCCGCCCAGGGGCGACCTGCTCCGCGCGCTGAGGCGGCGCCGCGGGGACACGCCCACGCGCGCAGCCGTGCACGCCCAGCGCCCGGTGCCCGCGCCCGAGGCGACGCTCTCAGGGCCGGTCGCGAACCCGCACCCGGCAACGGCTGGCCCTGGGCTTTGAAGGCGCCGCGGCCCCGTTGGCCCCGCACGCAGCCGCTGGGTCCTAGAGCCCCTTGGCGGTAGTTACCCATAGGAGCCTTTCACGTCAATTTGAAAAACTGCAACCAATGGGGTGGAGTGGGGGTGGGGAGTTGTACAGAGTTAGGGTCTGGCCCCCTTTCCAGTCCAGTCCCTATTTTCTGGGCCTAAGGAACAACTAATTCCTGAAAGGACCTGCGTTTCTGGTCATTTAAAAATAACCTGACTACACATACTTTTCCAGGTACAAGGATAGAGCATGGAAGTATAAACAAGGAGGACATGGTTTGAGGTTTGATATATGGTCAGGGCACATGATGGGGTTGCAAGCTCCATCCCCCGTGTAGGGAGTGTAGGAGGCAGTTGATACCTGATTCTCTCTCATCATTGATATTTCTCTCTCTCCCTCTCCTTTCCTCTCGGAAATCAATAAAATACATTAAAACAAAACAAAACACAACCCACACAAAGCACAAGTGTGTTGTCCTGCACCCCAGGATTATCTTTTCACTAGACCAAGTAAGCATGCCCTGAGGGTCTTTCAAATACAGTGGTCTGAGGCAATGCTGCTGATGGTGAAACAACACCAGAGAATCCTTAGGAGCCACACTATCTCTCCCTGAAAAACTGCCTACAAAACTGTTAGTCTCTGTATCTGACTAACTCAGGGCAAAGACCAAGGCCTAATAAGGAAATGGTTTTCTAGCCTTGCTGGTCTGTGCCAGCCCCAATTGTGTTAACAATTCCTTTCCACTCACTGAATTCGTGACAACCTTCAGGACATCAGGATGACCTCAATCCACCTTTTTCCCTCAGAACTTGAGCAGGCCACCAAATCTCTCTAAAATAAAAGTTCTAACCTGTTCCAAGGGACTACACTTTAATATGGCAAGGTCCTTTTTCCTGCTGAAATTACATGATTCCATCAATCTGCAATAAGTTTTAGCATTTTTCTCCTTTAGAAAACGATGTCAACACAAATAGAATACGAACATTCCATAGGAAACAAGACAAAAGTTGTAAGAGAAAAAACAGCAATAGCTGTGTTTCTTCATTCTTGTATGTCCTGGGAAAAATCTATACGAGTTAAGGGGAGGATTCCGCCAACAACAGCTGAGAGGTAACAGGCCCATTCTCTAAAAGGATTACTATGTCTATTTATAGAACCCAGCCAGTCACCATGCCCTGGATCAAGATACACACACTCTCACAAATATGGAATAGGCAGCAACACTCCACGGAGTATTTTTATATATTTTTATAATATTTTATTTGATGCTGTCTTAAACTTTAAAGGAAACATTAATTTGAAGCTTAGACTTATTAGAGCACAGTTAACATTTAGCATTAAGATTTTATTCTAAGGCAAAGGATTATCACAGATTTTATTAAGCATAAATGGGAGTGGGATAAGCCAATAAACAACATCACTTTAAACAAAGTCCAGTTTACAGCATATTATTTTCTACAGCACAAAACAAATAAAGAAAACACATTTTGAAAGATCACAGTGTTTAGAATATTGGGGTTTTTTTTGTTTTTACTTTTTAAAAAATATATTTTATTGATTTTTTACAGAGAAGAAGAGAGAAGGACAGAGAGTGTTAGAAACATCAATGAGAGAGAATCATCGATCAGCTGCCTCCTGCACACTCCCTACCGGGGATGTGCCAGCAACCAAGGTACATGCCCTTGGCCAGAATCGAACCCGGGACCTTTCAGTCCACAGATCGACGCTCTATCCACCGAGCCAAACCGGTTTCGGCTAGAATATTGTGAACAGCAGTTTTAAAAAACAGTAAGGTGCATCTCAAAGCTTCTGACTCAATCCTGCTTCTAATGAGATTTGCAGTAACTGTGAGCAAAACCCAACATGAAGGGGTGGCAACACCAACTGACTGCAGCACTTCCCCCTCTAGGAACAACTGTTAACAAAATCTAAAATCAGATGAGCATTTGCAAGTTGATCCTTGTCAATCTTCACACCAGCTAACTTACCCCAGTGACCATGTCTTTATGTATTATCAATTGCCTTTTTATCATTGAGAAAAAATGTATATGTTTAAGCTTATGATTGCTAGTTTCCCTGTCAAATAAATAAATGGATTTAATGTCACATATTGTATTATACTTTCTTGCTAGGACTGAAATACCATCATTTTAAAAAATACTATATGCACAATAATAGACATATAAAAAGTGAGTTTTTTAGTATAATAATATGTAAAATACCAGAATACTTGAGAATTTGGTTTCCTTATAAAATAGTATTACAACTTTTGTGAAATAGTAAAATATCTGACAGAATAATCTGCTCTATATTTAGACCTAACTGCTAATAGATGTCTTTGAAAGTGCCTCACAGTACCTCTCACTCCGGCAGTGTTTCTCAAAGTGTGGTACGAGTATCCCCAGGGGTACGGGAAGAGTTTGGTGGGGGTACATGTTGCACAGAGTTTGGTGGGGATATGCACTGCACGGTGCTTAGCTGCATCTAATTCTACGTTCTCACGAGTACGAGGGGTACTCAGCGTTATGAAAATTATAGAAAGGGTACACATATGTCAAAAGTTTGGGAAACACTGAATATAATAATTAGCAAAAGTTCATAGAACCTATTTTTACACAAAGGTATTTTTTAATGTGTGTGTGTTTTTTTAATTGATTTCAGAAAGAGGAAGAAAGAGGGAGAAAGGGATAAAAACATCATCATTCGGATGTTGGTACGCTTAAAGTTCCAGAGGTTCCTTACACTATCTTCATATTTTTGGATTCTTTTTGATTTTCTGGCTGGGTGTTTCTTTGCTTCTTTGTATTTCAAATCTTTGACTTGATCCTTGGGATCCTCATCCCCCTGTTGTCCATGACCACTGGTTAGGCTCATATACATGCATAGAAGTCCTTTGATTGATCTCTCTCCCTTTTCCCCACCCTCCCCTACCTTCCCTCTGAGGACTGACAGTCTAATGATGCTTCTCTGTGTCCGGGTCTGTTCTTGTTCATCAGTCTATGTTGTTCATCATTTCCTATAGGTTAGTGAACTCATGTGATACTAGAAATACACTTATAAAAACCTAAAATGAGACAAATAATAATGGTTATGCTGAGAGGCAAATGAATCAGTCTATAATGAGTTTCTTTCTGGGTCAGCAGTTCTTTTGAATCCCAATTTCTATGTCAAACAGTTCCTTATGTGTACATGTCAGCAATGATATTTCAGTTCTGGATAGTGGACAAATGGACGTAATGCAGGTGTGACCCCCTCTGGTTTGGTCCTGGGCATCCTGCAGCAATGCACAGCTGCTGACTGCTAGTATGGCAAGGTATCGTCAGCGTCTTACATCTCTAGAATGTTTCTCTTCTGTCTTCATGGCTGGCATACTCCTGGGTTTTTAACTCTGTCTTTGTGTTGAGACAAATCCACTGTAAAGAGTACAATTTTATTAAAATACTAATTTATTGAGAAGTTCTTCAAAGTTCAATAAAACTTCAATAGTATGTATTAATTCTTAGATTAAGAACAAGCAATTATATTCAATAGACTGATTATTCTTTTGTATCCTCCAAAATAATTAAGGAATTGTACTAGTGTACTAGTGAAATGTATCATTGGGAAGGTGAGCTTTTTTCCTTCCAAAGATAAAATTATATTTCTGTAAGTATTGTGAATTGTGCAAAAAATCATTTGGTGAAATAAATTCTATTCACTTGGGAAATGCACATTCTGAACCTAACATGTCGAGTTTGACTATTCCTATATATGACTTTGTAAATTTCTCCTAATCACTGGATTCTACAAAATCCATTTTTAAAATGTTTGTTAATTTAGTGACATTAAATCTATTAGATTATGCCCTAACCGGTTTGGTTCACTGAATAGAGCGTCGGCCTGCAGACTGAAGGGTCCCAGGTTTGATTCTGGTCAAGGGCATGTACCTTGGTTGCGGGCACATCCCCAGTAGGGGATGTGCAAGAGGCAGCTGATCGATGACTCTCTCTCATGGATATTTCTAGCTCTCTGTTCCTCTCCCTTCCTCTCTATAAAAAAATCAATAAAACAGCCGAAACCAGTTTGGCTCAGTGGATAGAGCGTCGGGCTGCGGACTGAAAGGTCCCGGGTTTGATTGCAGTCAAGGGCATGTACCTTGGTTGCGGGCACATCCCCGGTAGGGGGTGTGCAAGAGGCAACTGGTCGATGTTTCTCTCTCATTGACGTTTCTAGCTCTCTATCTCTCTCCCTTCCTCTCTGTAAAAAATCAATAAAATATATTTAAAAATAAATAAATAAAATAAAATATATTTTTTAAAAAAATCTATTAGATTAAAAATCCAACTTCCTTTCCAAATACAGCTATCACAAATGTTCAAATTTGGGAAAGCTGATATCTTTTTAGAGAATGGACTGTCCTTCTTTATCAAATTCTAAAATCAAACTTTTGCTCTAAGAATGTTCCACTTCTGCTTCTAGACAGTCTATATAAAACTGATGGTATACTTTGCATTTTCTAGAGCAAAGGGATTCTAGTCTTAAGAAGACATCTTTAATATTTAAATATTGAAGTCCTAAAAAATAGAGACTAAACTAACTATTCAAATCAATCTTATTTAAATGCATCCACATATAAGGTTACTAAAGTCATCTTGGATCAAATTCAATAGCAGAAGTTATTTTTAATTGGTAATTGCTACATAAGCACAGATCCTAAAACAAAATGGGGGAGGGGGGCTAT